ATACATTCTCGATGAACTGTCTAGACGTACACTGCACAAAGCAGGAGCTAAGCAGGAGCTGGAGCTCAGATGGGTGCATGACGGTGTGTGTGTGTGTGTGTGTGTGGTCATGTGATGTGCTTTTTTAGCAAGTGGCACTGGTATAGTGTGGACATAGGGTTGTGCTAGATGAAACGCCAGTGTGGATGTGGATCGTTTTCATTCTAAAATACCATTTTAAACTTAGCTGTATCAGTGTAAACGGGGCCTAAACGTGTGTTTTTCATGAGTGGGGTTTGCAAAAGGGGGCTGAGGCACGTTGCCAGCTCAGCATCGTGACATCTATTGGCTATGGCGATGGCATCATCTATCGACCCATGCCTAATTGTACTGACACTTTGCGGCTGTGATGATAAATTACAAATCGAATTTGCTGTCTTTATTACAAACATGCACTGTTTTAGAAATATTTTAAACTTGTAAAACTCATTCTTGAGGCGCTGCTGATCACAAAGATCTAAATAGATCCTTTAATCCTTGTTGCTTTGCGCACGTCCTGTCTTGTTGATATTATTTTATCATACAATACGCGACTGACAATCAATTTAATGGGCGGGGAAACCACACTACTACATCACGTTGTGGTGGGCCTTAAAAATGGCAGGGATTTCAATCCTATTTTAACGTCAAGAAATTAAAAAAAAGAGACTTACTGTGTTTAATTCACTCCAGTAAGTTAAAATTTAATATTCTATTTTATATTTTATAATATAATATATAATAGGGCGACGCAGTGGCGCAGTGGGTAGCACGTTCGCCTCACAGCAAGAAGGTCGCTGGGTCGCTGGTTCGATCCTCGGCTCAGTTGGTGTTTTTGTGTGGAGTTTGCATGTTCTCCCTGCGTTCGCGTGGGTTTCCTCCGGGTGCTCCGGTTTCCCCCACAGTCCAAAGACATGTGGTACAGGTGAATTGGGTAGGCTAAATTGTCCGTAGTGTATGAGTGTGTGTGCGTATGTGTGGATGTTTCCCAGAGATGGGTTGCGGCTGGAAGGGCATCCGCTGCGTAAAAACTTGCTGGATAAGTTGGCGGTTCATTCCGCTGTGGCGACCCCAGATTAATAAAGGGACTAAGCCGACAAGAAAATGAATGAATGAATAATATTAAATATATATATTTTTTGAATTTATGTGTATAATTAAAAATATCTAAAAAGCACAATAGAAAAAAAGATGAACTGAATTGAAAAAGATCAATAGACTTACTGCAAAGAAAATAAAACTCCAATTCCTACCAAGAAAGTGACCAACATTATTCATATTTGAACTTGTAGGCAAGTGCCAATTTGTTTATGGCTTTCTGTTTCGATTTCCACTTTGTTTCCAAGAGTAAACAATGAGTAACATTAATCACATTCAAAATATTAAGCAGCAAACACTATTGTTTATGGTCTGTTGTTTTGATTTTCTCTTTGTGAATAAAGAATTGAAGAAATGCACCAAATACACCAATTAAATGCAGCGTAAGGAAAGAACAAACTAGTTATTGTATACTGCTATTAGTTTTTTGTTGCTGTGTGAGGATGTGCATCAGGGCCCTAAAGATGAGAATCTTATGAAAAAACAGTTGACAATATAAGAGGATCAGAAGTAATTGCTGAAAAACTGAAACAAGTCTCACCCCTAATCCTGATCCTCAGCCTAAGAAAATAGAAACTTAGATCTAAACTACTGTATAGAGCAGAAGTCTTAAATCCATACCTGCCTACCTTTGTTTCTGAATATTTGGGAGTTTTTCAGAAGAAATAACAAAACAGGTGGGTGGCGGGAGATGCGTCTGAAATACAGGAGACTTCCAGGAAAAATGGGAGTGTTGGCAGATATGCTTAAAACAGTTTTAGCACCATCCCAAACACCATTCAAACACTGCATGTTTTGGAGCAAGTTGGAACTAAAATAGGCAAGACACCAGGGTTCCAGGTGCTAGATTAAAGAACTGTGAATGTATAAATGATGTTGTATAGATTTGTGTAGACATCATCAAAGATGTGGACCTGAACACACCCGGGTCTCTGGTAGGACCTCAGGTTTCCATTGTCATGGTTTTCAACCTCAGGTTTCATGGAGGGTCAGTAATTTTGGATCTAGTTTTCACCCTGCTACAACATCTGCAGTTTTCAAATAAGCCTAAGGGACTTGATGGATCAGGTTCATTTACAGTAATTACAGAGTGCCTATTACGGATTTTAAAGGGCTCATATTATGGTTTTGGAAGTCCAAAACAACAGGCTAAAATGCACGCAAGGACAAACAACCATTTTATTATGCATGTATTTTACCTAATTATTCTAACAACTACCAAATGATGTGCTTAGTTATTTATTTTTGTCAAAAATCCTTTCTTTGCTTGATGCTAATTTGTGGTGGTTGGTCTGATGACCCAGTCTGTCATGGTTGGTTCTGCTGCAGAGATGGGCAAACTGGGTCCAGAAATTTTCTACTAATCAAACACACATTAACGTGCTACTCAGTGTCTTCAAGCTTACTAAAAATGCTATAGTATAGACTAATTTTATGCGGCCGCCATTAAAAAAGCGAAATCGAGATTGCAGTGGGAAGAAACAAGGAACTATCACCTGAGTCACACAGGAATGTTGTGTACCTGGTTGTATATCTTATTAGTGAAGAGAAATCGACACAATTTTATCATTTCACCAGGTTCTGATTGACCCAAAGGTCCGGTCTGAATAGTAAGTGAAAATAAAAAATGATATTAGACCTGATTTTCAGCTAAGTTAAGGGAAATGGCACTGGTTTGCTAACGTTTTCTTTCCCAAACACATGTTTTAGATGCCATTTATCATACTCAAGTTTAATGAACTGATTCTTTTAATATATTAGACTTGTTACAATATTGAATTTTGTCACTGAAATGTATAAAAACCGCCAATTTCTAACTAACTTGAATGCAACACTGCTGATTTGCCATAGTGTTCACCGGTGCTCAACAGAAATAACTGTGATTGGCCGTGGAGATCATCAGTTCACTGCAGTTCACCGATGTTTAACAAGTGCAAACTCTTGACTGATCTGACCAGCTTTAAATCGCTCAAGTGTTCATGCATCTGTGCTTGCAATCAGTGAAGAGCAGTGAACTGATGACCTTCCCGGCCAATCACAATCTTTTCTGTTGAGCACTGATGAATACTATGGCAAATCAGCTGTGCTAAAGAACGCGGTCAGCGGCGTTTAAATGTTAGCTAAATGGAAGCTTTTAAAACTTCAGTACAACACTATTACAGACAACACAAGGGTGCGGTACAGAGGACTGCATTGTTTTATCGCTCACTGGGATATATACTGTAGGCTGAAGTAAGGAGGGAAGCCCCCACTCTGTTTGCTTTGTGCCATGAGCTGAAACCTAGGAGGACACTGTTTAAGAGATTGTGATGTAGTTTGATGCCTTATTTGCTTTTAATTGTTTAAATGAAACATAACTGAATGATATTTAAATGATGTTTACACCATATCTGCATTTTAAAATCAACAGCTGTAGGTTTGTAGTCCACAGCATGTTGCTGCAATGTTTACCACGCTGATCCACCGCAGCCTCGCTTTCGGGTTTTAAAATGGTGGCCGCGTAAAATAAGCGTATTGACAGGTGTGGTTGATAATGGTTGAAGCTAAGCTCTGCAGAACACCGGTCCTCCACGACCAAGTTTGTCTATCCCTGGTCTACTGTGTGCAGCACATGTTGCAAACAGAATACCTATCCACATTATTGGATTACACCTCAAGTGTTGAAACAAGTAACCACTGTACAGTATATACTGTATGTGAGCCCAATGCAGGAATGTAATGATAAAGCCCTGCAGTTTGAAGATCACGAAATGGCTAAAGATCCATTTCAAAAGAAACTTGTTAAAACAACTCTGAGTATATATTTCATTTTAAAAGTCAGACACTTTATACACTGTACACTTTTAGATTTGAAACTTAACTGGATGTTTTCATTCACTTAGAACTGCAACAAACTGCATGAAGAGACTTTTTTATCCATAATAGGAAGACTTCAAGAACAAACATGAACTGTGACAGGGTAATATACTGACTGTACTGTTTTTATATATTTAATTTTAGTGTCTTTCTTGAGATAAAATATGGAAAATACACACAAATTGTTAAAAAAGGTCTCAGAACAAAATTATTACTTTAAGTTTGAGCTCTTTTTTGGAAACTGTTTTTTCTGAAATAATGCATTGCTATGTAATGCAAGGCCTATTTCAGCCTTTACATTAAGAAAGTCATACCTTTTTTTCTCAATACATGTCATCCCATACTGCCTCAATAATATTAGCGTCTGTACTCTGTGGAGTCTGTACCCACCATTTCATGATTGTCAATGTTTTTCATCAGTTATAAATTCCCCAATTGTGATTTCATTACCATTACTAGTTAGATGCTTTCTAGAAAGAACCGTAAATTCGATTAAAACCTGTCTCTACTTTTCAGCATTCATAATTCCATGAATTCATACATTACATGTACCAACATCACTTGCAGAAATGCAGCTCAAACTAGCACAGAGCCTTCTTCATGTTTCAATGAAGTCTATTTTTCAACAACTCACTCTTTAACGTCTTAAATAATTAGACCCTAAAAAAAAAAATCAACCCTAACCAGTATTTTCTGGTTGTATTCTTATAAAGAGCCTGAGAAAATATTTGTATATGTTCAGTATAACAGTGTTTCCCAACCACATTCCTGGAGGACCACCATCACTGCAGGTTTTGGATGTCTCCTTTGTCTATCCTTGTCCCATTGCAGGTCTTTCAGTCTCTGCAACTGAACTGATGATCTGAGTCAGATGTGTTTAGTTAAAGACACATTGAAAATGTGCAAAGTTGGTGATCCTCCAGGAATGTGGTTGAGAAACAATGCTTTATACTATCATTAAAACAGCAAATGTAATGGTTACCTACAACACTAATATTGCAAATCAACAGAAAGTGTCCCATACTCACAGTCAGCGGCAAGGAGCAAATGACGAAGATTAAGGTCATGGATGCCAGCAGCAGTAAATGGTCCATCTCCTCCTCTCCCTGTCCAAACCAGGTGCTCAGCCTTCTCTTGCGTCCAGCCGACACCACTGATCCCCGGCGTGTCAGCTGGCTCCGGTGCATCCGACACAAGCTCACGATGACCGAACCGTTGCACATGAACACAATGGCGATGAGCAATGCCATGAGTACGGCGTAGGACAGCGAGAAGGCCAATGATCTTCTCTCCTCATCATCACCCTCTTCTACTTCCATCTTGATGAAACACCATGTCCCAGGACAGTACTGCTTGTGCCGGCCATACCCGAAGAAAGGCATCAAGCAGAACACGAAGGTAAAGAGATAGATGAGTAAGAGGACGATCTTAGCAAAGCTTCGCCTCACATGTTTGGAGTAGAAATACGGGTGGCTGATGGCGAGACATCGCTCTACTGCCATAGCACATAGGATGAGCATAGAGGCCAAGATGAAGAAGGTCATGGCGAAGGCAAAGAGTCCGCAGAGCCGCTGATCTCCAGTCAGTCCCACCAGCGATGTTCTGTAGGCATAGCAGATGAAAACTGGTGGACTGAGTAAACATGTTCCCAGCAGGTCTGTCAGAGCCAGACCTGTGACGAGGATGCAGAAGACCGAAGACTTGGTGCGACGATCTTTCTGATGGACTCCCAGAATAGCCAGAGCAATTAGGTTACCGACCACTCCAGCAATGAACATCACAGTGCTCGTCCCCGGATTCCCATTTGCCTCGATGCTGGTGATGTTCTCGCATGACTGGTTGGAAAGCATATTGAGAAGGCCTTGCCTTTGAAACCTGAGCCTAGGCGCAGGGATCAGACAGCAGCGATTTTGTCTATTGTAGAAGTCTTGCAGTTCCTTATCTTTGAGAATCTGTGAAAATAGAAAGTATTTCTTTAAAGTCTATATAACCATCCCACCCAGAGTTGCTTATTGAATAGGCCAACAAAATGTTGACTTTTTTGTGCTGATGTACTTCCTGTTGAAAGAGGAAGATGGGGCAGAGTATAAGGTCAGTTTTCTTTAAACAAGTGGAAATGGCAATGTAAAAACACCTTCTAGAGAACAATTAAAAGAATTAAGACAAACAGACATAGGGCAAAGATGAGATTCACCATTTAGGTGTCTTAAAGTGTCTAAAGGTGATGTTATAGGGTGGGTAAAAAAATAACTAGGCATTCAAAAAATCCAGTGATACTCTAATAAAAATACAAATGCAGTTTTACACTGCTACACTTTACACTGCTAGATGAATATGCAAATATGTGTTGCTTAATTTTCTTTCAATAGTAAAATAAACAGAAGATAAAAAAAGCAGGGATACAGTCATAGTCAAAACAATAGTTCACCCAAAACTAAACATTCATCATTTGCTACAACTTCACTTGTTTCAAATTTCTTCTGTTGAACACAGATGAATGTATTTTTAAGAATGTTGAAAACCAGTAACCAGTTCTAGCCAATAAATATTGCCTAGTAGGGTGGTGCAATTCATCTAAATCGAATCGCAATCACGATTTGAAACTTTGAAATAAAAAAAATATATATTTGACGTTGGAATGATTAGCCCCCCTTTATTAATCAGGGGTCACAACAGTATGAAACGTATCCAGTACATGTTATACGCAGCGGATACCCTTCCAGCTGCAACCCAATACTGGGAAACACCCACATACTCTTACACACACTCCTATTCACTATGACCAATTTAGCTTATTCAATTCACCTGTTCTGAGTGTCTTTGGATTGTTGGGGAAACCAGAACACCCAGAGGAAACCCAAGCCAACAGGGGTAAACATGCAAACTCCACACAAAAATGGCAACTGACCCAGCCGGGGCTCGAACTAGTGACCTTCTTGCTGTGAGGCAATTATGCTACCGACTGTGCCACCGTCCTTGCCCCCCTTGTTTATTTTTTCCCCAAATACTGTTTAACGAAGAAGGAGAGACTTTTTTAAAAACATTTCTAAACATAATAGTTTTAATAACTCATTTATAATAACTAATTAATTTTAACTTTGCCATGATGACAGTAAATTATATTTTAATAGATATTTTTCAAGTTATTAGTATACACCCTAAAGTGACATGTAAAACTTAACTTGGTTAATTAGGTTAACTAGGCAGCTTAGGGTGATTAAGTTATTGTATAGCGATGGTTTGTTTTGTAGACTATCGAAAAAAATATATAGCTTAATGAGGCTAATAATTTTGACCTTAAAATGTTTTTTTTTTTTTTTTTTATTAAAAACTGCTTTTATTTTAGCCAAGATAAAACAAATAATACTTTCTCTAGAAAAAAACAAATATTATCAGATATACTGTGAAAATTACCATGCTCTGTTAAACATCATTTGGAAAAGATAAAAAAAAAAAACAAAGGATGGCTAATAATTCTTACTTCAGCGGTATACTATATATATATATATATATATATATATATATATATATATATATATATATATATATATATATATGCTTAGTGTCTTTTTTAACACTTAACATTTTAGCAGTAAGAAGATACAGATTATTGAGCTGAAGCTTGACTACTAAATTTAACTGCAAATAAAATCCCAATTGCAATATCTGTCAGAAAAATTGCAATTATTTATTATTTATTTTCCCCAAATAGCACAGCCCTACTTGCACACATTCTCTACATAAAAATACAAATCTGAATTTAACAACCAGGCCCGGATTGGCTAATCGGGAGGACCGGGAGAATTCCCGGTGGGCCGGTCCGTTTTTTGGCCGCGAGGGCCGGTGTCCCTAGCTGCAGAATCTGTTGCTCTCAGCAGTCACACTTTTCAAATTTATTTATTTACTTGACCACAGCCTATTTATTCATTATTTTACCGCAACTCTTTTCTTTTCATCTATTTTAATGATTATAAAACTCAGTTGTGTCGCCTTTCTGAATGCAGCTATTGTGGTCCAGCGGTTAGCACGTTAGAATAAGACGCTGCAAGCCCGGGTTGGATCCTCGTTAGAGTAACTTGTTGTTTTCATTTTTATTGTTAAGACATATAATACTGTTAGGGTTGTTGAACATTTGAAGTTCTAAAGCAGCTGTTTTCTCAAAAAAAGACGGGATAGTGTCATTAGAAACTGATTTGGAAATGACCTTATTTTAATATAGTCAGTTTTGAACTGAGGTGGGCCGGTCTGAGGTTTGAAACTCCAGGGCTGAAAAGGTGTCCCACTCCGGCCCTGTTAACAACTTACTTATTATGTTCTCTTTTTTGTTTGTATATTACGTTTTATTGTGTATGTTACTCTGAATGACATTTTAGCACAAGTTTCTTTTCTAAATCATGGTAAATACACTAACAAAAAGAAAAAATTTAATGAATAAGTGAACAAAATATACAAATACAAACTGAATCGTAAAAAAATTTGTGAGTACGACAGTTTAAAGTGAGTCTGAAAATAATAATGATCCCTTTTATATATCATATAATAAGATATCATACCATATATTATATTAGTATATTGTAAGAAATCACTTTTGGCCGTTTGTGGCAAATCTTCATCATAAAAGACAATTTATCATTAGACAAATCTTTGCATAGACAAACATGCTAATTTATTATTTCATAATATTATGCAATCTAATACCTCAGTAGAAATAGCAAAAAATAAGATTAATATTACTGTATGAATGAAAATGTGATTAAAATAAGTTTATGATATACACACAAACAAACACACAAACAAATGAATGAACAAATAATAAATGCATTTAAACATTAAAATGAACCAGAAGAAACAAAATAAGCTAGCCTATACAATAAAATGTATTAACACATAATAGTTTAAATATTACGATTCTAACATTCTTTATATATATATATATATATATATATATATATATATATATATATATATATATATATATATATATATATATAAATAACTTCCATACAAGAATTTACTTTATACATTTTGGCATTTTGCCAATGTTTCTTTTATTAATCGTGAACTGTTTGTTAAAGAAAACGGTCAGAATTTTGCAAACTTAAGCTGACAGAGGCAAAAGTTAAAAGACGAAAGAGGAACAAAGCATACACACTCTGAAACAACTCAATTGTTCAATCTAGCTGCTGCTGCAAAAAAAATTATATTAGACCAAACAGTTTTTATTTGTGTTTATCTATTAGAAAACAAAGCAAAACTGATCCGCATTACAGACTCAAATTTGCGCTACAATCATGCATTATGTATCATGTGTCATAATGCATTGCAGATGTTTCTATGAGTCACACAGCGGTAATTTCACATCATCCGAGTCGTCATGGCAGTAAAGCATCAGTCTGGAAGAACTGAACACGCACCTGTCCAGGCAGAGTCCATCACTGGAGCGCGCGTCCATTCCTCGCCGCCACGCAGCACACATAGAGGATTTCTGTCACTCCACCAAACATAATATTTCTCAGCGATGTCGATATGAGAAGTCCTTGGGCTTTCGTTTCTTCAATTAAGTTTTCTTGTCTAGTTTTTGTTAGTTTAGTTGTTAGTTTAGTTATTCGTTCAGGTTCTTCAGGAGTCCACGGCATCTGAAGCTGAAGTGAAGAACCACGCTGACCGATTCACTGCTCGCGTTTGGAAGTTACCGTACAGTACAAAACAGTAGAATAGAGTAATGTAGACTAGTGAGTGAGTGAGACAAGACTGCTAAGACTTCCCTTCTGTGGCTGATAAAGTAGCCCGTGAGAAACAAGAGGAGGAGGAGCATCTGACAGCTTCACTCCTCACTTATGCAGCGCGTCAGGCAAACACACACTGACGGACTTTACAGACAGACGTTTGTATAGTCGCTGTTAAAACTTACATAATGATGATTTATTTACAAATATTTAGAATTCTATCTATCTATCTATCTATCTATCTATCTATCTATCTATCTATCTATCTATCTATCTATCTATCTATCTATCTATCTATCTGTCTGTCTGTCTGTCTGTCTGTCTGTCTGTCTGTCTGTCTGTCTGTCTGTCTGTCTGTCTGTCTGTCTGTCTGTCTGTCTGTCTGTCTGTTTGTTCACGAGTTAGTGTACTCTTAATAATGGGTTGTTGTGGTTTCCCCCACATAAAACATACACCCAAAAACATTATTTTTAATTCTTGTTCAAACTGCTTATTTGAAATTAGCAGAAACAACACTTTTTTTTTAGATTTTTTAGGGGGAAACTTAATTGTTTTATGTTCAAAAAACTGGGATATCAGTTGTGCGGACTAAGCATTTTTTACACTGTATTCCAGAGTAATTTGCGGTTCATTCTGCTGTGGTAATCCCTGATTCATCAGAGACTTAAGTCAAATGAAATTGAATCAGGGTTTGTCTTTGTGGTTTCTAAACATCTTGGCTGTAAAATAAGGCTATCAGTTTCTGAACTGAACTAGTTTTTAACCAAAATTTTCTTCTAAACTGTTTCATTTGTGCTAGCACTGTTATACAAAAGCAATTAAATATAATCTAAAAAAAAAAAAGATTAAATCAAAATCACAAGCTTTTCACTTGTCTCCATGTTCAGACAGCACGCTTACTGCATTATCATCCATTAACGCAAATGTGCACCACTTCCACAGTCTAAAATTAGATAATGTTTGGCTGCATCTGTTGTGGTTTATCTGTTTGCATGTGTAGATACTGTGTATTCGAGTTGCCTACAATGGTATATAATGATTATTAATGTCCATCAGCATGCATTATGAATATTGGAGAAGTACCCTGGAGCCACGAGAAATAACTATGCAGCACTTTCTACAGGAAACAGATAAAATTCTTCCCCTTTTCTCTTAATGGCCCTGTGTTATCACTCCATCCCTAACATTTACATGTCTTTGTTTACAGTTTTCTTGAGAAAATTGGTATCATATTTTCTTTGTCCTGAATATTGACTGTGTTGATGTCGCATTCAGAAGCAAAAGAGGACATTATCACTGATGTTAATGCAAAACGTCTGAAATATTAGCATCTCTTGTGACTTAAGTGTCCATCGATATACTCAAGGCAGTTTTTTTTTTTGTTTGTTTGTTTGATCAGAAGAACATGCAAACTCTACGCAGAAATGCCAACTAACCCAGCCAAGACTCAAACCAGTGACCTTCTTGCTGTGATAAATATGCTCATAAATTAATTCCTTTTTTTGCATGCACACTGCCTTTACAGAACAGAATGGATCTTTCACCAACATCTGAAGCATTATAATTATTTGTTTAATATGTCATGGCTGCAAATATCAATTTATTTATTTTTTATTTTATTTTTATTTTTTTGTAGTCTTTTACATGAAAATCCACCTAAATGCTATCTTTTACAAACAATCGAATTTACAGGTCAACTTTTGGTAAGTAATGGCTTTTTAAGTTTTGTGAATTTTTTTTTTTTTGCTATATAGTTTTAAAGAGCACCTATTATGCATTAAAAAGCTAATATTTTGGTTTTGGGGCTCTTCAACAACAGGCTGATGTGCATACAAGGTCAAAAAACGCATTAATGGTCTTATAATACGCATTTATTTTTACCCAATTATAACAATGACTCCCATATGAATTGTTCAGCAATTAATTTGTTCCCAGACCCCTCCTTATCGTGATGCTAATCTGCGCTGATTGGTCCGATGAACCAGTCTTTTGTGATTGGTCGACTGAGTTCAGCTTGAAACACCCAGCTCGGCTTATCAACAATTTTGAAGTAGTCAGATTGCAGAGTGTAAGTGTAAGCCCACTGCAGGAGTGCATTAAAGCAATGCAGTTACACACAAGCATTTTGCTAGGTTCTTAAACAAAAGTAAAAACTGTGACACACGTTCGATAATAATCCACACAGTGGCAAAAGCTGAACTATTTTGAAACTAGACCACCACACGTGTGTAGGAGTCGAACGCGTCGCATTTTCAACATGAATTTAGACGGGGTATGAGAATATAAAGAGTAAACCAAGATATGGTACAAGTCGCATGGAGTGGTTACAAGTAACAAAACACAATTAAATAAATAATTTGTTAGCTAGAGAAAACAAGGAGGTAAACAATTTAAATGCACCTACTTACACTTGTGAAATAGAGGAAGAAACTGATCCACGAATTGTGTGTTGTAAAGTTTCTGTCAAGGCCAATATAGTCTTTTCTGATCCTTCCTTTAACAAATGGCTGATGAATCCCTCATTGTAACCATGTAGATTGCTGAAGCACTTGTCAGAAAAATGATGGGAACGCAGCACAAGGCTGGGTCTATCATGCTGAGGTATTTTTGACTTTTCACAGCCTCATCTTTGGATAGGGAAAATAACACTAACTTTCCCTCTCACTTTAGAGCACAGCTTCTTTGCGACTTGATTCAACCGGGGCCTGCTACAGTGTTTGTCTTCCTCTTTTTCTTTCTACAGTTTTTGTGGTCAGAGCCAGGGGTTTAAATTTCCCCTGTCTGTGCCTGCATTAAATGGGCAGGGCTTGAGTTGCGTATCGACGTCATGCTGACACGGCTAAAGATTTGTTTCTGATGCGATTCATTTGAACTACTATGAATCGACTCTTTTAAAGGTGAATCAATAGTTTTAAACATAGTGCGCTTTCTGATTTAAGCCTGGATATTTTACTTCACTTAAAAAGCCATAATACGGGCTCTTTAAAACATGATCATGCACATTTGTTATAGTCTGAGTGTCAGTCTGAGTCACTTTTAGTTGTGATTTCATTTTTTTAAAATCCGTTTTACCCCAACAGATACACAGCTGGAATTCCGTCTCGCCACACACCAAACAGATAAATACTGTTGCCAGACTGCTCTTAAAACACTCACACATGGTTATGATTAACTGCTGAGGAAACCACAGAGAGTATCAGTGAATGAAACACATTTTTATTTGGACACGTTAACAGTTTTGCAGGTGGGAAATAAAGATGGTAATTAATTCAGACAGGGTGCACCATCATCATCATTATCATCAACTTATTATTATTCATTCAATCATTAATTTTCCTTCAGCTTAGTCTCTAATTCAGAGGTCACCACAGCAGAATGAACCGACAAATATGCCAGCATATGTTTTATGCAGTGGATGCTCTTCCAGCCACAACCCAGTATTGGGAATTATTATTATTTTTTATAACACCGCAATATTGTGTAGGGGTGTTTGCCAGCACTAGGGTGCGGCTGGAAGGGCATCCGCTGTGTAAAAAATATGCTGAAATAGTTTACTAATAGACACTAAGCCGAAGGAAAACGAATGAATAATTGCAATAAGGTTGCATTAGTTAATGTTAGTAATTGTATTTACAAAAAACAAACTATTGAACAATACACTTAGTACAGTATGTATTCAAAACATTACTTAATGAAAATAAAGTTGTTCAGTGTTAGCTCTTGGTAACTCAAATAGCATTAACTGCTGTTCACAAATACAACATTAACAGTTTTGTTAATGCATTAGTACATGTTAAACTATGAGTAATTAATGATGTACAAGATTGTTTATTCCTATTCGATATTAGTAAATACATTAACTAATTAAATCTTTTTGTAAAGTGTTGCTCTTTTTAAAGAAGCATTCAGAAATTCACTTAGCTTACTTTACTGTAAAGTAAAGCACTGTGGGCATTTTAAATAAACAAGACTAGGCATCACTTCGTGTGTCATGCCTGGAGGCTCTCACAGAATGGGAAACATTAAATAGGACAGTAAATAACCCATTCATATTCTAATCTAGCCAACCGTGTTGCAGTCCCGTGATTTATTACTACGTGTGTCTCCAGGGTGTTTGTTTAAGCAAATGTGGATGGTTAATATTATTTTTGTACTTCATAATGTAAGCATAGTAGCTCACACACAATGACAGAAGGCATTACTGGATGTCGGTGATCAGCACACCATTAATGGTGCTGTACATCTGAGTGAATATATTAAGAAGAAAATAACATTTCATTTAACGTAATTGTGCAATTTGTCAGATTATTAAGAATATTCAAACAACAAAGAGAAATATGATTTTGATGCTGAAATAAATTGAAAACCTCATCTCCGACAACACAATTTCAGGAGCTTCCCTGACACATTTTTGTTGTGGTCTGTGGTATTTGCAGTGCGTTTCTCTTTTTGCATGTGTTGTGAGAATATGAGTGGGTTTTCTTGTCATATTCCTGAGAATATGAGTGTGACTTGCTTTATGTGCCAACATAATTTTCCATTCAAAGTTAACAAGTTTAGGCTTAGATATAGCTGATAAAGGCATAAGAACCACCTTTGCTTAATACAAAAAAAAAAAAAAAAAAAAACATAACAGCATCAGTGAGTCATTGACAATAAAGTAGCAAATTACAAATACTCAAACTACTGTAGAGTAGTTTTTTTTTCCTTAGGAATTGTAATTTACTAAGTAGTTTTAAAAAAGTGCACTTTTACTTACCCTTGAGTACATTTTTTTGTGCTGTATCGATACTTTTACTCTACTACTTTTCCAGTCACAATTTTTTCTTGTTTATGGGGCATACCTGTCAACCCTCCCGTTTTTCCTGGGATTCTCCCGTATTTTACAGTTCTATCCCGCTATTATCCCGTAAAGGTATTTCTCCCGTATTTTCAGTTTTTTACTGAAGGGTGGCAAATAAACATTAAGGGCTTTATTTTGACGTCTATGCGCAAGTGCAAAAGCGCAGGGCGCAAACACTTTCAGGGCGTGTCAGAATGCAGTTTTGCTAATTTAAGGATGGGAAAATCCAC